GAGTGGCGGGTCTGGACGGAGGAGGGGCAAAACGGCAGAAGAAACAGGAAAAGGCTGCTACAACACACCCTTTTACCCCCTTGTCAAATCCCCCCTCCACAGGAAACAGGAAGAGCCTCCATATTTTTGCCTCAGCATATCTCAGTTGGGGAACCCGAAGCATACCACACAGGCGGTCGCCGGGAATCGAATGGATACCCTGGCGAATTGAATGCACAACCTCCTGTGTACCACTTACGTGCTCAACCAACTGAGATAGGCCGCTCTGTTTCGGTGTAGGTTTGGTTGCTGTGTTTTCTCATTTTCTTTTCCTTTTCCTTTTCTTCCTTTTTCTGTTTTGGTGAAGCAGGGTTGGCTTCTTTGCTTCCCTTTTTCCTTTTCTTTTCCTGTTTGTACAACGCAGGGTTGGTTACTTCGCTTTTCCTTCTCTTTTCCTTTTATTTTCCTTTCTTCATCTGTTTACCAGATTGAGAGAGCAGTTCATCAATACTATCAAACCGAAGCTGGATAACGGTCATAGTATTTTTCTCCAGGATTTTCTGAGCCCGAAGTCTCTTTGAAGTTTTTGAGTTATCGTGTTCCCTTGATGACGACGACGACAAACACAACAACAACAAACTCGCCAGGACCAGGATGGGAGATTGTTAGAACCATGAACACAGGGTACAGACTGTCAGGACCACAAACAGGAGGGTACAGGAGGCTGAGCCGAGAAATTTGTCAATGTTCAGGTCCTGGAATCATGCAAAAGGAACTGAATGCGCATGCCCCCCAAAACGAGGGAGTACTGCATGCCCTAAAAAGCTATCCATGGGTGTAATTCGCTCCCCTGACAGTACATTTCCATCAACCACGTCATTGAAAAACCCCACGTGCTAGGACCAGCCTTTTCGGACCAGGAACAAGCCAGTACAGACCGCATTGTATGTGACAAATCTTTGGCAACGGAAGAAATAAATAACTCGGCTTCAAAGACAAAACAAATCAAGAAAAAAGAAAAGGAAGTTTGTGCTTTGACAGCCTGTTTCGTCGGAATTTCACCGACTCATCAGGGGGCTGAGACCCCGACAGTCTGTGGAGTCCCCCACCTACAATGCAACCAGCAATATTCAACAACACCCGCTGCAGGTGAGCATAAATCACCACCCCAAGCATACTTTAATAATAGCATGTCAGACGATTGCTGCTGGAGAGAAATATCATGCACAGCAACTGGGGAAGGGATGGGACCTCCTGGGCTATAACGACATGCCAGTTCAGAGTCGAGGGGTAATTTCAACCCGAAATGAGAAAGAAAACAAAAGCACAAAGCTGTGAAAGCAGGCCATAGGTGACGTCCACGGACTCCGCCTGTTAAGAGTAGCAGACAGAGGGAAGCACTGGTGAAACCACTGCCAGTGCAATTGGACGAGACGAGCAGCAGAGAAAGAAGGCGAAAACAAATGAGGGTGCCAACGGAACTGAATGCCTATGAGCCTCCGAGGAAGAGAGCCAGACAAACTGAACCCCAATGAGCCGCAAAGTAAGAGGGTTGGAGACTGCACGCCGATGAGCCACACAGTAAGCATGTCGCAAGTATGAAGTAAGAGAGTCAGACAAACTGAGCCCCAATGAACCGCAGAGTAAGAGGGTCAGAGACTGCATGCCGATAAGCCACAGAGTAAGCATGTCAGACAGAAGTATGGAAAGGTGTGGAGATGGAAGAGGAAGAAAAGAAATCACGAGGCAGTAGATGGTGAACAAGGACTTGGAAAGGGGGAGACGTTTCATGGAGGAAAAGAAGGGAAAAGACGAGCAACAGAGGAGGAAGAAGAAGTGCAATGAAGACGCCGCCTTTACTGAATGCCAATGAGCCACAGAGGAAGAGGGATAGCACAAAGAGAAGATGGAGGGCTCGGAGGAAAATTAGGACAGAGAAGACATGCATCAGAGGAGATGGTGAACGAGAGGTTAGAGAAAGAACGGTGTTGCATGAGTTTTCGCATTGACGAAAAATCCACTGCACACACACAAAGGGATGTAAAATTGTAAATGCAATATGTGAATACATTCAAGAAAGCAAAAGGAAGCACACACGGATGCAGGCAATGGAAAAGTCCATACAGAGGGGCAGCTTTGGAATAGGGAGGGAAGCCATGGGAGACAAGGGAATCATAGGTCGTAGGTTTTCATAGGAGAGGAAGACGGCGAAAGAAACAAAGAGAGGAAGAGGGAGTGAGACAGCCTAGCCACTGAGCATCACTAGATGAGGGTCCATGACGTTTGTAACCACAAGATGAGGGGGACAAAGAGTAACCAAACATGACAAAAAAGTGCGCAAAAGGGCAAAGGACCGTTGACGAGGCATGCACAAGAAGACGATAAATAGCAGAAGCAATGGAGGAGAGGATTGACAACAAGGCAAGCAGGAGAACACAATACAGAGCAGAAGCACAAGAACCGGGACGAACTGCTCATCTGACGACTGGTCAAAGTAGCTAAAAAGCTTACAAATGCTTGCTGAGCACACCAGAATCAATGATTTCATCAGAATGAATGACTGGATAACAAAAGAACAACGGTTATAAGGAGGGGGGCGAGGTGAGGAGAGGGCGAGAAAGGGTTATAAAAAGACAGAGCAGGACTACCAGGTTACAAAGAAGAGGGGTGGAGGGGCAAGGGGGCAACAGCCACCTCAGAGGCGAAAGGAGAAGCAACCTAAGCAGGAGGGGAGCAGGTGTTGATAAGCAGGCACGCATGCAAGAGGATGCAAGACAGAGGAGGTCGGGGCAGGGCAAGAGCAACAAGATACAGAGAAGACGGAGAGGACGGAGAGGACGGTGAGGACAAGGAGAACTGGGACAAGGTGCATCACGTGCAATTGGGTGTATGGGGAAGACCCTACATCAACGGCAATTTCGGGTCTGCCTTTATGCTTTGCCAAACAGACGCAGTGCCAACAGGCATCGACCAACACCATGCAACCCACTTTTAGCCATCCATCTCAACCACCTCAACTGACACAGCACAGCAACAATTATTGCAGCATTAACCCCTGCACGTTTTTTGGACCCCGAGTGACCACCCTGATGACTCTGCAGTGCCAAAGCTCAAAACGCATGGCACATACATCCAGAACCTTGCAATCTTTAGAGGATGAGAGCCAAACCACACCTCCGAGGACGTATGAGCGACATAATAATGACAGGCCAATAACACCGCAGCAGATGTGAAGGCAAGAGACCGATGCAAACCCAGCATCAAAGACGATGCATACAGGTACAGCCTTTCTTGATACACTGTCAAGCACTCACCCTCCTACCCAACCAACTGATTGCACTGTGAAACACACTTACGTTGCCTGCTTTCCTCCAGGTCAATCTGCCCTCCCACCCTATCTCAGCTGCAGATGGGCTTCCCAACCCATTCTCAGAGAGCCTTGTTGACATCTAGAGCATGTATGTCCCCCATGCCTTGGGTTGTTTCTAGAGTCCAAACAACACCAAATATACATTGCGGATTCACATGATACCTTACAACCAACACTGTTTTGTCATGTTCCATTTCTTGCAGTTTCCATTCTTTCGCACCACTTTTCTCTTTTTACTTCGGCATCCTTGTGTTGGTCCAGCTCTTCTTCGATGGAACATCCACGCTAACTTACAGTAACACTTCTGAAACTTTTCCTTGCAATGTCAGCCCACTACTACAAAAATAAGGGAATGCAACGCACAACCCTCCCAGCATCCATACAACTCGCACCACCACAGTGGTCCATCCATGAGGAACATGTCAGAAGTAAACCACAAACCATTAACAATGAAAATGAATCTCATCGAGCAGGTCGCAGGTTCCGGTCCCGCCGCAACAAGGACATCAATAATTGAGCAGAGTTCTTACCGCGTCGGCACCCAACGTCTTCTTTTCCTTTGCCTCAAGCATGGCCAGCTCCGCTTCCTTCAAAATCAGCCACAGTGCAAAAAAATAACACAGTTCTACGTTACAAACATGAAGGGAACCAGACTCCAAGAACTACCAGACAAAAAAGTTCCCTCAAGTCTAAGTCGGGCCTCGGGGTCAACAAGGCTCTGTCCAAGCCCTAAATCCAGACAGCGACGCCCCAGTCCTGTAGAAATGGGTTCCATGATGTTTGTATCCAGTCCTAGGGTCGGCCAAACACCTGTACAGCCCTCAAAGACATCTGAAGAGAGATCTCAAACCGGTAGAACTGGGGTAGAGGAGGCCCTTTAGTCACACGGGGCCTGGAGACAAGTCCTCATGCCCTGGGAAAATCAACAGGCAGTCCCTACCCGGGCTCAGAAGTCAAAGAATCCATTCTCAAGAAAGCAATTTCGGCCACAGATCACACACATCCAAGAGTCCGGTAAAGTTTCTAAAGGCACCCAGGCATTCTGGATGGCCTCACACAGTCGCTGGATCCCAGCTCTTCATGGCATTTGCTCTCAGCCATCGATCCCTCAGCGACAAGGCAGGGCGGACAGAGGCATATATTCCTGCTCCCGGCCTACACAGGGCATTCTGCCTTGTGCTAGAGCAGTGTGCCAAGCTTCCTTGCGCCACCAGTGAGAGAGAGATCTTGTGCAGGCAGTCATAGATAGACACGGAGAGAGTTTGTGCGGGCAGCGATAGACAGACACAGAGAAGGTGCTGTGTGCCAAGCTTCCTTGTGCAACCAGTGAGAGAGAGAGAGAGAGAGAGAGAGAGAGAGAGAGAGAGAGAGAGAGATCTTGTGCGGGCAGCCATAGATAGACATGGAGGATGTGGTGAAGGAAACCCCCAAGGGCTACAAGCGATCGGCAGGTCATTGGTTCGTCCCCTGCAGGACTAGTGTCATCTAGAGGTGGAAACAGTCGTAGAGTAGGCCTGCAGGAGTGACGAGAAGAGCTTGCCACATTCAGCATTCTTCATCCCTGAGTGGTCTGGTTGGAAAGAAGGCCGGTGTGTTGAAGTGGCGGAAGCGTAATTGTGTGGGCCAGTCGGAGTGAAGGGAAGAGCTTGCTACAGCCGAGTTGATTGACCTGAGGTAGCCTGTGTTCCAGTTCATTCGCTTCAGGTGTTGATGCCAGCGAGACTACACCCCAGCCCCCCCCC